CCCCCCCCACAAAAAAACAAGAAAAACGAATAGAAATGAAATGTAACATGTGTAGGAAATGGAAAAAGGAAAAGGCAGGGTAGGGCAGCCAAGGGACGCGATCGGGAGCCGGACGGGGGCTCGCGGATGTTGCAGGGGATCGGCAGCCTGTTCAGTGCGCTCAAGGTGGTGCGCCTGCTGCGGCTGGGGCGCGTGGTTCGGAAGCTCGACCGGTACCTTGAGTACGGCGCGGCCATGTTGATCCTGCTGCTATGCTTCTACATGCTCGTGGCGCACTGGTTGGCGTGCATCTGGTACTCGATAGGCCGCAGCGACGCCGACAACGGCGTGCAGTACTCGTGGCTGTGGAAGCTTGCAAACGTGACTCAGACCCCGTACGCGTACGTGTGGAGCAACGACAGCGCTGCGCCCGAGCTCGTCCACGGGCCGTCGCGCAAGACCATGTACGTGACGGCGCTCTACTTCACCATGACCTGCATGACGAGTGTCGGCTTCGGCAACGTCGCCGCCGAGACCGACAACGAGAAGATCTTCACCATCTGCATGATGATCATCGCAGGTGAGGGTGATGCTTGTGGTTTTTTGGTTATGTCGTTCATCCTCTCTTTCTCTCTCTCTCTCTTTCCTTTGAACACTGGTTCCTAAATGAGTTTTCAACCTATGTGTCGTTTGCGAGTGAACGAATCTGGAGACTCGTTCTCAAGATTCGTTTTACAGTGAACGACTCCGGAGATTCGCTCCCCTGATTCGTTTCTAAGTGAATGACTCCTGAGATTCGTTCTAAGGATTCGTTTGAGTGAACGACTCCGGAGATTTGTTCTCAGGATTCGTTCGCGAGTAGACAAATCTGGAGATTCGTTCTCGGAATTCGTTTGCGAGTGAACGAATCTATAGCTTCGGTGCCTTTTGCTGTGTCGTTTTTTCCTGTTTGTCCTGCTACGCCCATTCCAGTCCTGATATAGCCCTCTGACGCTCGCTAATGAAGCAATCTTGTGGCTCGTTCAGGTGTTTTCTTGGCAAGTGAAAGAATCCTGATATCCGCCATCCGCTTGTTTGCTCTCTCCTTCTCTGCGAATGATTCATTCGAATTCTCATTGTAAGTCGACTGGTTCGTTGATTGTTGTTCTTCTCTTTGATTTTGTGATTTCCCTCTTTATTTTCTTCATCAATTTTTTTAACTAATTGTATCCATTTCGTTCACAATTGAAGTTTCATTCATTTTTTGCTTCATTCATTATTCTAACATTCATCTACTAAATTTAGCACAATTTATTTCGTGATTTGTTTTCTGTAAACAAATCTAGTTATTCAATCTTATTTCATCAGTAAAATTCAGATTGCCTATTAAAAGAATTTCGTGTGCAAAAGTTTGTTTTATTAAAGACTGAAATATGGCGGTCGTATTTCGTAAAAGATATCCACAAGAATGAACAATTTAAATAAAACTGCGCTCATTGCTGAGCGAATCGTGTTATTTTTTCATTACATTTTCACTACACAAAAACAACTTGATATCTCTAATTTCTTTATCTATTGTCAGAGTTTAGGGATTTTTTATTCACGTTTTCTATTCTTCACTTCATGACTGATATGTTGTTCTATTTTGATCCCTTTGGTAGCTAACACTCAAATATTAATTTTTATAAAAATGTTCTCTTTTAATAAATAATTTATTTTGATTGTAATTCTTTTTGTTAATCTTTGAGGTGAATATAACAGTTTCTCTGACTATATTGATTTTTTAACATAACTTTCAATTATTCATTGAATCAACGCAAAATTTTCTAATCAATCAGAGACACAATAAAACTAAATAGAATACATTTTCAGTATGCAAATGATACCTGGAGCTAATTAACACTTTCTGGATCAGATTCAGCTTGATTACTTAATTTAATTATGTTTCTAACCCATTGCAAATTGTAGTTTCATTGTATTTTTCCAACTCATTGTGATTATCGTAAAATTGTAAGACTTTTTTCCACGTTCTTTGCCTTCTGTCTTTGTTCCTTGATCGTCACTCTAAGAAAAGTCAATCGATAATAAAATTTAGTCGTACAGTAATGTCACTATATCTCGTTCTCAATTTCTCTCTTTTTTTCTCGCTCTCTCTATCTCTGTTTATCCTTCTTAATGATTTTTACGTTGCTTGGTGCTGGAAGATTCAGCCGTGATATTGTTTAGAATTCGCTGTTATTTCTTTAAAAAAGTGTCAGAATACTAACCTCATTTTCCCTGCCCACTATATTCCTTCTTATTTCCACTTTATATTCACAAAAAAGAAAGAAGAATCCCTTCCTTGTGTGGCAAAAAATGTTTATCACATAGTGTTTTGTCGTCCATGGTCGTTAATCGTGTGTACACTTTGTGCCATGTGTGTTCACCGTTTGTATGCTTAACCTGTTGATGACTATCTGTCGCCAGTTGTCACCCTGCTATCTAGAATCCCTCGCATGATTATGTTGTGGATTTTGATCACTATGTTGAGCAGATCCGAAACAGTAGAAACGTGTTCTATTTGTGTTTTCATCAGCCCCGTTCTTGTGACATCCCTTTTTCTTGTGGAGAAAAAGCTCGAAATGTATTATGTATTTAGACACCCGTGCGGAGTTACAAGATCACCAAAGGTGAGATTCGTGTACTTAACGTGTGTAACTTCTCTCCACGTGTGTGTTGAATGTTGTTCTCACCCTCATATCATTTGGTGTGTGTTAGTGTGTCTGTCACTTCTACTCTCAACCCCCTCAGATCTCTCGATCCTACTCTTTTTTTCCGTTTTGAAACTTTTTTTTAATAAACTGCTCTGGTCACCAATTTTACAAATCAGGCATGTCAGCGAAAGGTGAGATAGCATAGGTTCGCATAGCAAAAAAAAGATATTTCTCTTTCTTTTACGTTTCCTCTAATTTTCCTTCCCGACAACCACATCTATCGTAGAGTAACTTAAACTGCGCGTAGGGCCACAGAAAAAGAAAGTTCGTGTTTCGTGGGATTTGTGTTTCGTGAAATAATAAGCTAGGGTTGGGGTTTTCTGCTTCTGAGTTTCGCAATAATCTCCTTCTGTTGTTTAGCGTTTTACTACTGAATTGTTGAAAGAAAGTTGTTAACATAGAAAAATGAATGAGTTCGATTATTCAATTGCGTTTTCTCAACTAAAAAGCAAAATATGCATATTTCTGAATAATTACCATATTTTACTACTTATTTTCTTGTAGTATGGGTTTATTTTATTCATTATTCGATAAATATTTTCTTAAATTCCAAACCAATATGTTCGTTATTAAATGATTAAGATGCAATACACCCATAATTTCCTTAATTAATGTAGTCACTCTTTCATACGCACTAGCGTGTTCACACAGTGAAGCACTTTAGTTGTTGGTTGTCACAGACATTTTTGTGTGTCCCTTTACACTCATGTGTGCAACACCCACACTCGTGCTTAATACTCGTAATGACAGTATATGATGACTCTTCGTAAAAAGGATCGGTGTACATACTGTAATACGTATGGTGTAATAAATGGATGGTAAATATGTTTCCCATGTAAATTCTGCATCGTCTACTTTTTAGCACTCAACTAAAGCACTCCATGATTCCAGAAAAAAGTATTCAATATTACGTTTATTAAAAATAAAGACAAACATTTAGAGACAAAGCAATATCGACATTTCTGTTTTATTCTGGATACGATTGTTTTGCTACTATTTTCTTACAATTTCATTAACCGGAATTGATGATGGTGGAATAAAATTTTAAAAGAATACTGTTACGTAAAAGAATTAAAATGCAAATTACTTCTGAAAACTAAACAAATCCATTGCAGTCATGTCAAGATTAATGTTCTCATAATTCGGTAGTTAGCGTTGAATATTGGGGAGAATATTGTGAGGTCTCAGGAACAAAAAACTCCACCATTATGTTTATTATTCCTTTAAAAACGTATACTTCGAAATCCGGACACACTTTTTCTTTGGCCCCGTGTTTTCAAAATTTGAGGGGAAAAGGGGGGTTCAAAAAAAAGCTACAAAGAAGTTGGAAGAGCAACAAGAAATGCATGATCATCATAGCAGGAAGGTGAGAAAGACAAAACAAATGACTGTTTGGTCCTCCTCCTGGTTCGGTCGCTAAAAATATAAAAACTCTTGTGTTTCTCTTTATCTTTTCTTGTGTTTTTCGCGTTTCTTCGATGAGATCGTGCTCCAAAAATCATCAGAGGGATTGGGAGCCCGAAAGAAGAATGATCTGACAGGACTGATTGCAAATTCTGTTTGAATATTTCAAGAAAATGTAAAGAAGAAAATAATATAGAGACAAAATAGTTCTGTCAAGATGTAACAACAAAACTACATTTTAATGAGAATATCAAGCGAAGAGCAAAACTTCTAAGAATGTAGAGAGTCAATCGCATGTTAAGGCACAAAGAAAACCGACCAAGTTAGCAAGGATATGCAGTCCTAAAAAAACAAATGAAGACGGACTAAAGGTAAATTCCGAAAAGGTATGTATCTTGCGTGTGCGTATGGTGTTTTCTGTTGTTTTTCCCCGTAGACATGATGTCCATAATATAAGTGTTCATTAGCGTAATAGAGGATATCTTGAAACGAACGTAAAAATCGAAGAAGTGGATTTTTCACGTAAAGAGAAAGAAAGAATGTCGGGCAAACTGAATATGGAAATGGCAGTTTTTTTAGTTATTCGATCAACCTGATTCACTTCGACACACCCAGAGTTTTTTCGTGAAGTGTTTCTTTTAATTTTCATAATACTATTTCAATATATAATATTTATACCCTTAGTCGCTAATGAAGAAAGTCGCTAATGAAGAAAGTCGCTAATGAAGAAAGTCGCTTATGAAGAAAGTCGCTTATGCGAATATTTAGAAAAGCATCATTTCATTCGAAATCCCTGCCTTCCTTTATGAATGTCAAAAAAAAAAATAACACGATTAAATATTATACGAGTACATTGGTAATGAAACGGCTTTCCGAGTTGTTAGTGTAATACGGCACTTCCAGATGATCTATAATTCGGAATATGTCTGTAGTAGTACCTAAAACCCTGTATGTCGATACTGTATATTGATTAAATGCTCAATTTTACCGCATGTGTGAATACAGTTTTCTGCTTGTATTAATATTGAGTTCCTAACACCTTCACGTGAAGTGCAGTCTCTAACTCTATGCCATAATATTCGTAAAGAGATAACAACAGCAATCGAATGCATAACAGATTTTTGCTGATATCCCGCAGGTGTGCATTTCTGGACTCGTAATGTAATAATAGTATTTCCTTCCCTCTACATGACAAGCTCATTACCAAAGTGTATTACGAAAGTCTAGTACATTATGGTAGCAGAGGATGAATATGACCACTTTTCTTTTAGCGAATATATGTGTTTGAAAATCTCATCTAGACTGATATTATTATTTTTATGGGTGTAATTTAGGTAACTTTCATGTACTACACTCGACCTTCCATTCCAAAATAATTTAAAAAACGTTGTTTAGCATTTTGATTTCTCGTTTATTTATTATTCTTGTAAATCATAACTACGA